AATGTTTAAAATTATTCCACTTTTACGGAGTTAACTGGCCATTAATCTCCAAATTAAATAGGAAGAATTTTAAACATTATGGGTGTAACCCCCATGTTAATGGTGGTATTAACACACCATTAAAAATATTACTAATGATGGTGAGTCATGGCTATTGAATGTGCCTTCATGGCATATAAGTTACAAAATGAAGAGCCATGAAAATGCCCATTTAAATGGAGGGACTCTTCTCATTTTTTTAAAAGAGCATCTATACGTGGGAAATAAAAGAGGAGAAGGAAAAAGTTAACACTTTTGTCCTTGTTTAACTTTGAGGAGAGCTCTTGGTTTTCCAGCCAACTTTCTGGCAATTCCCTTCAAAGTTTTTTGGTCGCCAACGTTCCTACGTTGTTCTTGTTCGTTGGTGTGTGGTTGGTCCGTACAATCTCCACACACGATAGCGGTTTTATCCTGGGAGGAGAGTGCCTACGTTTTTCCGGTACGGTAGGCGGGCACTACTACCTTAAGGACAGCTCCGGCGACTCCGCTATCCTTCCACGGTGTTTTTTTTTTGCAGGTACAGCTCATAAAGACCTCGCAGCATTCTGCCCTAGGACATGATGTCCTTGCTGTCCAGTGCATAATGTCCTTACATCCGAGTGCATGACGTCCTTGCTGTCTAGTGCATAATGATCTTGCTGTCTAGTGCATAACGTCCTCGGCGTCCAGTGTTTAATGTCCTCATACAACGAGGCTTTTTGAGAAGATATAGAAATTTAGTTTCTATTCTTTTTATTTTGTAATATTCTGAATAAGTTATAAATTCAGAATTTTATTTATTTTTATTACCGAGGCCGTTCATCTTCCCCGTCCGTTGTAATCTGTACAAAAATTGTAACATAAACATGAAAAGCTTCAACTTGATTCCGGTTGCCTCAAGAGAGTTGAGTCCTAACAACATGTGCTGATAGATATGTGGATTTGCTTCTGGGGGAGTTTAAACACTACAAAACGAGGCTTGTTACTGGATAAATTCAAAAGCAGGTAATAACATATATTTATTTATTATTTTGTGTTTTTGATTTCAATGTTACATTACATTACATGAGGATATCGATTATGAGGTTTCAAACACTTGACTAGGATGCAAGTAGAATATGTGATTATTGGAGATTTGTAATAATTACTAATTTACAATGCTGAAAATTTACTCAAGGCACTAGATAATCAACATCTGTAGCGGATACCATTCATTGCTAGTTTTGGAACCTGAAGTTCTGTGGTAGTTGAATTTCCGTTTTCCTTTCATTAACTCGTCTTTAGATTTTTTTTCCAATTTATCTAATGGGGGTGATTAGGGAAGTTGCTTTTGAACTCGGATTTACTACCAGTTTTATGCTTCTAGTGGTGGAAACATATCGGAGATGATTTACAGCCATCATATCTTTCTGGTTTGACCATTTAAAGCATTCCTTTTTTAGATGGTGGGTGTTCTTGTGAAATTCTATATCCGTAGGTGGGCTGGGGATGAGCTATACCCGTAGCATATTATTAGTCACATGAGGATACTTTCAGAATGAGTTAGACCCAATATATTTACAGCACAACACCAGAGACAGTTCAGTGAAACTTGTATATGAAGCTAAACCTAAGCCCAAAGCAATAGATGCCTTTGCTGGTGAAACCATTGTTTATGTGGCTTGCGGGTCAAACCACACATGTTCTTATCTTAATGTAATCTATAAGTATGTTATGCTTTGTGTAGTTGTTTCTAATTTCCCTTACCCTTTCGTTTTATGTTATGGTGATCAGTTGCAGTTGATTCTAATGGACATGTTTATACGTAAGTTTTCCTACATATTTGGTGTAGCTAATGACTCATTTGATTTGCACACCCATACACGATAGTAAATGACTTTTTTTTACTAAAAAAAATTTCAGCTGGGGCTTCGGTGGTTATGTAAGGTTGGTTTGCTCACTATATCAGTTACAAGCATGCCATTTGCTTTATTCTTCTTAATAATAGGAACGACAACAATGTAATATGGAGTATAAATAACTTCAAGTGCTCATTTGCTGCTGAGTTGGCAGGCTTGGCCATAGAGAGAAGAAGGATGAATGGGCCCCTCGACGTGTTGATGGAATTAGCAGGCAAAATGTCCTGCCCCCTGATGTTGTGATCTTAGCTGGTTCTGTGAACTCATCTTGCATTGCTGGTATGCTGTATGTCTAGGTCTATATATGTCACTCTCTCTGCAAATGTTCTTTGTTATTCTTCCCTTTGCTAATAGACACGTGCCTCTCTCATGCTCGGGATCCCCAATATTAAGCATTACACATTCATTTTAAAAACACAATGTTGTGTGGTCATTTTTCATATTCATATGAATTTTATTATTAATATTGTTATTGGACGTGTCCTTTTATATGTAGGGGGAGGCCAACTATACGTGTGGGGAAAAAATAAAGAGCACTGGGGATGATTGGATGTATCCTAAACCTCTGATGGATTTAAGGTTCCTTCACACTTGCTTTAATTTGCTTATTCTGCCTTACAGCACAATGACGGATCAGCTGCCTTTGATGTGGTCCCAAATTATAAATTTATAATTTAATTCTTGTGATGCACTGACATTGGCTTCTCTTGAGATTCTCTACGATGATAATTTGGTAATCCTACTAAGATTAGTGGTTTTTAGTTTTCATTTGGTATAAGTAGGATGAGTGGCATTTGACTTCTTGAAATGGCTCTTTTTAAATGAATGATTGAACACTTCCATATAGACATTTTACAGCTTATCAGTCTTCAATTGCAATCTCTATTCATGGCATAGTTGCTCAAGTTGATAGGCCGAACAATGAATGAGCCACGTCATTTCACAGGTTCTTTTGGTTTTCTTTTTAGAGTGACGTCTGTTCTTAAACATTGTACTCTATGATTCATTGGGTTTGGATGTAGTGCTGAACTTATTGTTTTGTTTTGGTGTTGCAGACTTTTAGATGTCGGCCTTTGGAAATAGCAAAGAAGGAACCATTCCATTCGTGGCACGCCAAGATGACACCTTTCATATCTAGACATCTTTCAACTAAATCTTTTGTGAAGCCAAGGAGTCCATGGATCATCCAACACAGAATAGTGCCTGCTGATTTTATAGAGCAACCATATACTTTTTCTTGAGTTTGATTCTTTAAATTTGCATAGGCTTGTTCGGTGTTTATAAGGTCTTAGAACCGAATCATTTCTGTTATTTCTTTTATATTATGTAGGTCTTTTTTAAATCTTGGAGGGGCTTTGGTTTGGCCCTCCCCTCCTTTTGTACCTTCTTTCTCATTTTAATAAAATTTTCTTTAATAATTTCCCTCATCGACCATAGTTCTAGCCATCTCCTCGAGACAACGATTTTTACGTTCCACCACGCCATTTTGTTGTGGTGTACATGGAGCGGAGAAGTTATGCTCGATGCCTAGTTCGTCACAAGACTCGGTAAAGAGATCTCGTTCGAACTCTTCACCATGATCGCTTCGTATGGCTACGGTGGTTAAGCCTTTTTCATTTTGAACCTTTTTGAGAAAAGTTTTGAAAACATGAAATGCCTCACTTTTGTGAGTTAGAAATAATGTCCATGTGAATCGAGAGTAATCATCAACAATCACAAAGGCGAAATAGTTTCCCCCAAAACTTTTTGTTCTTGATGGTCCAAAGAGATCCATGTGCAAAAGTTGTAGGGGCCTTGTTGTAGACACAACATTTTTCGATTTAAATGAGGCCCTTACTTGCTTGCCCTTTTGACATGAATCACAAATGGTATCCTTCTCAAACTTGAGTTTTGGAAGGCCAATTACTAGGTCTTGTGAAACCAATTTATTCAAGAGGTTCATGTTGACATGAGCTACTCTACGATGCCATAGCCACATATCGTCCTCCTTACTCATGAGACATTTGGCAAAGTCGGAAGGAGATTCATCTAAGTTAACCATAAAAATGTTATTGATTCTATCACCACGAAGAATCATCTTATTGTCACTAAGACGTTCTTCCATGCATGATTTAGAATCGAAGGTCACACGATTTCCCTTGTCACACAACTGGCTTATGCTCAAGAGATTGTGTTTAAGACCCTTAACTAATAACACATTATCAATAGAGGAGGTTTTATTTTTACCAACCGAACCAATGCCGATTATTTTGCCTTTGCTATTATCACCAAAGACAACGTTTCCTCCTTTAGTTGGTTTGATTTGCAAGAACTTGGATGCATCTCCGGTCATGTGCTTGGAGCATCCGCTATCAAGGTACCAAAGTACACTTGATGCCTTCAAGAACACCTACAAATCAATTTAAAAAGATTTAGGTACCCAATTCGTTTTGGGTCCTTGGGCGTTAGGTGCACGTTGGTAGTGTGATTGGTTTTGTGTGCAATGCCTATGCCTAGTGAAGCAGACCGGGGCTATATGTCCTACCCTATTGCAATAATGACAAATAACATTTGGATTATGCATTCTCCTAGGTTGATAATAGTTACTAGGTTTTCTATATTGACTGATCCTAGTTTGAGAAAAGTTTTTTTTATGCATATTTAAAAAATTATTTCTTGGTTCTCTAACTTGTCCATTGTTCATCCTAGTGTTCTTTCTAGGTGGTCTAGTGTTCCTAGTTGTTCTAGGTTGTCTATTATTGCTCATTTTAGTTTTCCTAGGTTGAGCCTTAGGTTGTTTAGGTGGTTGCTCATCTTTTTCTTTATTATTATTAGTTTCATTTTCAAACCCTAAGCCATGTTTAGTAAGTTGCAAATTGTCAAGAACCTCATTAAGATTTTTATGAGAAACACCAAACTTCATCAAGGTTCCTTCAAGTTTTGCAACTTGTTGCTTAAGTGATGTACAAGAACTACATTTTGAACTTTCCGGTTTGTCGGCGCTTCTTTTTCCGAAAAATTTATTTTCTTCTTTAAGTTTTTCATTTTCTTTTGATAGTTTATCAACTTCCTTCTCCGTGGAAGTATGTTGTTTCTTCAAATCCTTATTAATTTTAGAAGCGTTGACATATTCATCATAAAGTTCATTGAAGGCTTCTTGCACATCATCAAAAGTATAGGAATCTTTAGAAGTGGTACATACCTGTTCCGGTGGTTCTTCGCCTTCCGATGATTCGTCGCCGGAATCACCTCCCCACGAGATGTAAGCTCGGTGCTTCTTGAATGGTTTCTTCTCCTTCTCGTTTTTGGCATTTGGACATTTTGGCTTGATATGCCCAATTTCTCCACACCAATAGCATTTGGGTGGTCCTCCATGTTTCTTTCCCTTTCGTTCATGCTCCTTTTGCATGAACTTGTGGAATTTCTTGATAACGAGCCCGAACTCGTTGTCTTCATCGCTTGATTCCTCCATGGCGGGTTCTTGGCTTGTGGAAGCCTTGAGTGCAATCCCCTTCTTCTTTTGTTCACCTAAAGAGGGAAAAAGGATGGTAGACTTATAGGTTTTGAGGTTACCTCTAAGCCCGTCGATGGTGACGTTGGTGATGCCAATGGACTCTTGGATAGCATCGGCTTTGGAGCGCCATTCCGGTGTGAGACTTCGTAGGATTTTTCTCACGAGCTCCTTGTCCGTGTACGTCTTCTTGAGAGCATGAAGGTTGTTGACAATTTTTGAGAATCGTTCAAACATCTCATCGATTTTCTCATTCTCCTTCATACGAAACAATTCATATTCATGGGTTAGAAAATCGATTTTAGCTTCTCGGACTTGATCCCCTTGGCGGTGGAACAACAAGAAATCTTCCGGTAGTCATCCGGGTTCACGGCACAATAGAGGATGTTGATGGCTTTTGCGTTGTTCTCGATCTTCTTGATGTCTTACACATCATACTCATCCTCGGTCTTAGGAACGGTGGTTTCCCCGACCTTCTTCATAGGCACATCTTCGCCCTTCTTGATGATTCTCCACAGGAGAAAGTTGGTGGATTGGATGTAAATCCTCATCCGCTCCTTCCAATATGTGTAGTTCGTTCCGTCAAACAACGGAGGCCTCGTGGTGGATTGTCCTTCACCTAATCTTGCGTATAAGTTTTGAGTAGAAGCCATTGATCGTTTCTCTCAAACGGTTAAGTCTTTCAGAGAGTATGGCTCTGATACCAATTGTTAGAAAATAGGCCCAACGCTAGAGGGGGGTGAATAGCGTTTGAAACAAAATCGCAGGAAATTAAAAACGAGAGCGATAAAGTAAAGAGAGTAAGGAAGGAGCACACTGAATTTTATCTTGGTTCACCACAATGTGTGGCTAAAGACTTCCTTCGAGTTTACAACAAGGGAACAACCTCCCTTAAAGTGTATAGAAGCACTTAAACACTCAGAAATAAAACTCTCACAAAGAATAGATATGAGTGAACTAGTAAACGCTCAAGAATACGACAATTTCTTCAAGAATTGGCTCTCAAATAACTAAGAAAAATATGAATGCTTATGCAATGAAAGAGTATTGAAATGTTGAAGAATTGTGTGTAAAATGAGAGGATTTGGGTGCCATTTTATAGCCCAAAATAGGATAAACTCGTTGCAAAGTTTCCAATAGGATCAGGACAAACTTTTCAGAGACACAGAGCAATAGTCGATTGTCAAAGCTTGATAATCGAGTACAGAAAGATTCCGTGTCCAAAAATATAAAATTCTATCCGTTGGAGGGAAACTGTAACACTGATAGTCGATTGTCAAGTTGTGTCACTCGACTATCAGGCCTCTCAGAAGTTTCTGGGTTTGAAAAATAAACTCGGATAATCGAGTGACAACATGTGTCAGTCGACTATTGAATGGTTCTGAACTTTGAGTTCAGAAACTGCAGTAGCCAATATTCGAATGTCATTAGCTGACAATCGATTTTCAGCTTGCTAAAACCATCCGGCGAGAAGCTTAACCCGAAAAGCTGAGATCCAAAAACGAAGTGTTCCCAAAAGTAAAAACCAAGTATGAAAAACATTGTATATGGTATAAAATAGTGAAACCAAGACTTGTTTGATAAAAACCAAGTCTTCGAGGTAGTTTGTCACGTGTGTGCGGTTTTGACCGTTTTTCACGTGTTAGACCGATTGACCAAGATACAAAAATGGTTTTTATAAAATAATTGTTTGGGAACCTTTTAAACATGCCCAGAGGTAAAAACGAGGTTTAAAATATTGAAAACCACCGAGTTGGTTCGGACACCGAAAACGGAATGCCGAACCCCGAATGCCGGACGCCGATGCCGAATGCTAAACGCCGACCGAGGTGGTTTTTGGTCTAGGCAAGGACCAGGGTTTTTAAGACATTAAAACATTATCAAAAAAAGTTTATTTTGATGCACAAAAAATGTTTTATGATTTTGTAAAAATTTTTTGACTCTTTGAGAACCGAGACTTGAATTGATTGTCGGTTTTGATCACAATAAGACTGACTCGACTAAGTCTTCAATTCTTGATCTTTGTTCTTGAGTCTTTTGGTCTTGTTCCATGCCATTCTTCACGCCTTGAGTTGTTCAACGAAAACTCTTCATATCCACGGCGGTTTGGCAATTATCAAAACCTGTGAGAAATGAACACGACTTTAGTTCAATGCAATAAAAAGTGTGTTCCAACAAAATATTGAATTATGAATATTGAATGTTGAATGTTGAATATGAATGTTGAATATGAATGTTGAATGTTGAATGATGAATATTGAATATTGATTATTGAATATCTGAATTGAATATTATGTGCATGATATCAAATGATTTGATTATGAATTGAGATTCAATTTATATGGATGTTCGACGCATTAGATATGCTTACTCAGCTTCAACGCTGAGCATGTAGTATGTTTTATTTGCTACACGCAAGTTAATAGAAAGAATGATGTGACGTGATCCTGGAGGCAGACGGAGGCGAGATTGGCGGAATGGATGTGATGGTTTTTGAATTGTAGAACATAAATAAATTATGTTTGTGATTATGATTTGTTAAGCTTCCACAATATTGAAAACTCTGTACTGTTCAAGTTATGAATAATATTGTTGTGATAAATAAAAATGTTTCAAATGTTATAAATTTTTACGATTACCAAGTTAATACTTTAGTCCAAAAGGGGCTGCAGACCTTGACGGGTTAGGGTGTTACAATTTGGTATCGGAGCAAATGGTTTTAAAACCGATCTTGGGATCAAAATTTAATTTAAAAAAATGTCAGTCATATCCACGACTCTGGCTTCCCTCTGCTCCAGGAAAGGTATGAGAATTTACTTCATAAATATTGATTGTGTTAAATTCTCATTACATAATAATTGTTAGTACAAAAATTATATCGAGCTAGACTCAAGTCAAACTTTTGTACTCAGTGAAGAGACGAAAGAATAAACGAAAAATATATGATCCCCTGCTACGTTATCAACATACTTATCGTATCTCGAATGACGAAGGTGAAAATTTATCTGCGTGGGAATGAGACAATCCTGAAGAAATGATTAATGTTGATATTTTGAAAAAAAATGTGAATTCGGTGTCGAAGATCCTCATGTGGACTCTACACGATCTGATCGCTGATTCAAACACGAACGTTTAGAATAAATAAACACTCTTATCCAAAGTATCTCATTCTTATGTCGAATTCATTACGACACAATATGCGATTATATCATGTGAATCGAAATCGTTCATTAAGCAACAATTCCTTGAAAAACCTCGTTGAAATACCATACAAGGAAATTGATAATTATCCTTAGTATGCATTGGCTGGCTGAACGACGTTGCTATTGACAATTCTTGACGAAGAATTCTTCAAACTAAAGACTAATGATGGTAACCTCATAGAGGTGAAAGCAAAGCTAATTTCTAGACCGCCCGAGGTCATCTCGAATATACATGCAAAGTCGTTCTGTCTATACGAAGGTGTGAAGTTTATTCCGATGATACGCGAAAAGAAACCACTGAACTGAAGGACGTACCGAAAGTATGTCACCTCTCTGATATGAACTTCCTAATATTTCATCATTCTGAGAAATTGAATTCTCTATCGATCTTGTTCCTAGAAAAGACTGATATTGGTAACTCCATATTGAACGACCTTTTGCTGAGATTGAAAACTCAACTGTAAAGATTGCTTGACAAGGAACCATCTGACCAATTGTTTTCTCCTTGAGAGAGTACGTGTCTTGTTCATACGCAAATAAAGATGGATCGATGAGACTCTGCATCAACTACCAAAAGATGAATAAACCGACAATAAAAAAAATCGTTATCCTTTATCTGTATCGATGACTTATTTGATCTGCTTGAAGGATCCATTGTATTCTCTAAGATTGACTAACGGTCAGGATACTATCACATTCCTGTTAAGAAAAATGAACAAAGAGACGATCAAGAATCACTATCCTTTGTTACGTACAATTCGGTCAAATTCAAAGAACCTACTTGTTAGAAGCTATAGACAGTTCAACCTTGTTCAATGAACTGACGCCTTGTTATGAAGCGATTAATGATTTAATTGCTTATCATCGAAAGTATCACTGAAGTCTGATTGAATGAATAAAATGGTATTAACATATCATACTATCAAATCATTAAGATAATTGACTCCTTCGTAAAACCTATTGACGTGAAAGATCGCGACCAACAGACAATACAAAACAAGACGTGAAATGGTGACACAAACAGTGAAAGGCTAAAGGATGAAGAAAATGTAGCTTGCACTTGCCATGCAGCTAAGAATAATATTTATGGCTAACCATTGATGTTTATGAATAATATTATTTCAACACAAAGTACAACTTGGATTACATGAGAAATTTTACAGATGCAATTCTAAGTCTAATCTTCCAAGATTTGCAAACTTGTCATAACTAGCCCCAGGACCCGGGAAAGCTTTAGCAAACTCAAGTTTGTCTAAAAGCTCATCAATAAAGAAAGTAGAAATGAAAAGTTTCCTCTGACTCAAAGCCATGAAGTTCTGCCTCATCCCATCCTCTAGAAATTTGATAAGGTTATTGTGTTAGAATAAGTGCTCTTCACTAGCGGGGGGG